GTAAGTTCGCTGCGGATCGGCAGGATGGTCCCATCTGGCTCGCTGAACTCGGTCTCCAGGGCGTGCTCGAACCGCCCGCGCAGTTCCTCGCCGTACTTGTTCCCTAGAAGACGGTCGGTGAGGAGAATGCCGCCGATGCCGACCAGACTGAGCAGGAACAACATGTCAGTTTACAAGTGACGACATCACTCCATCGAGGTCGAGCCAGATCGAGGGTCTAAGGGTGAAGGGGTGAAGGGACTAACTCACTTGCAGGGCGTGTAGAGCCAGTTGGGCTCGCAAGGGTAGAGGCAGTACGCCGCCTCGTTCATGTTCCTGTACACAGCGTCGGCCACCCCTCGAAGGTCGTAGGGGAACTTGAGCGAGTCGGTAATCTCAAAGGTCATGCTGCCGGGCTTGGTGTAGCGGTCGTCGCCCGTGTTGGATTGGTAGATGCCCACGGCTTGCAGGATGTAGCCTGTCACCATGATGTTGTCTTTCTTGCAAGGATCCCAGTCGTGGGCGTTGAACTTGCCGGCCATGGACTCCCATTTCCAGAAGCTGCGAAGAGTGAGTAAAAAAGGTTCTCGTGTGTAGCAGGAGCCGCTCCCACAAAGGGGATATACTCGCAAAAAGAATCGGACACTTACTCCATCACCTTCTTGGTAAAGCTGTAGATGGGACAGGTTAGCGCCAAGCCGTGTCTAGTTGTGACAGAGACACCCACCTCTTGTCAATGGCATTGCGTTGTGCCTGAGACAGGTAGCCGTGGAAATTGGGGCAGTAGACGTTCTGGTACATCCCCAGGCAATTGACAGCCTCGTAGAGCTGGTATCGAATGGCCGACGTCTGGAACTGGTCGATCACGTCGTGGTACGAGAAATCATCCTTGGGCGTCAGGCCGAGTTCCAGATACCACTGCACAAAGCGCAGAGTCTTCTCGTCGACCTCCCGCGTGCCTGGTTCGGGAGCCGCAGCAGCATGTGTTTGGTTTCTCTGGACCTCCTCGACCAGGTAGCTGTTGCGAGCTGCTCGCTTCTTCCGTGCCCCGGCGTTGGCCCGCTGGCAGGCATAGGCCAGGTAGATAATACCACCTACGCACACGGCCGACATCAAGGGGCCGGCGAGCTCCAAGACGGACTCTTTTGCCAGCACTGCTGAGAGGGCGGCGGTGCCAACCCAGAGGGCAATGGGGAAAACCAAGCCGCCCATCCCGAACCACGCAAAGAGAACCAAGGGGATCAGAGCACAGGAGACCACAAATGACAGGATCGAAGGAATCGTACAGACAGCGACGAGACCAGCTCCCGGGAAGAGAAGACCCAGACCGGCGGCCCGAAGAGCAGGGGACTGGAACTTGTAGAACGACGTGAGTCCAGCTGCGAACAGGCACGCGTACTGCACGAGGGTTCGACGTTGGTAATGCCATTTGGTGAGACCGGCTCCGGCGTTTTCAGGCACGAGCACATCTGAATAGAGAAGACAACAGTGAGCATCATCACGGTCGGAAAACAGAGACTTCTCCTGACCGCGCAAGACATACCATGCCAGTTGAACTCGCCCACGAGGGATTTCCCAGATGCCTTTCCCGTGCCAGATTTAGTCTGCACTTGGGCAGGGGCTGTAGCCGTCTGTATCCAATCTGATTACTAGGCACATTCTTGGAATTGCAACACTCGGCTTACCATGGTCGCCATTGCGATGAGACTAGATTGTGTGAATAGTTTTCGATACTCCTGGAATCAAGGGATACGGAAAAGGAAAGCAAAGAAAAGACCACCACAGAACGGATGGACCTCCGCAAAGCCTGGAAACATCGTATGGCCTGTCCTCACCTATATAGTTTGATCCTTACCAAGAAGTCTCCTTACCTAGGTAGCAAGGGTGGCCAGTATTTCGCAGCTGCTATCATTTCTGTTATGTCGCCCGTATCTGGTTTGCCTCGCCTAACCAACCCCGCAGTATCGCATTCAAGAGTGAAATATTTGCGGGGAGAGGGACGATTGTATGAACGCCCTGGTGGGCTTATGCCAACCGCATGAATCATTGTCAATGACTCGAGGACCGTTCGGGAGTTTGGTAATAAAAGTCCCAGTCACCACCCTCCGAACACAGGGAGAGCAGGGGAAGGCGACCCAGTCGAAGAAATTCTGGTCCCTCTTGTGAAAGTGGTGACTAATGTCTGTCTTGTCCCTCTCGTCCCTGGCTGGACCTGGGCTTCTGACCTTGTCTTGACGTTGACGATTCGACCAAGGCCTCGTCCGAGCCACGAGTCGTGCTTTCTGACTCGGACTTAAGAGGGAGCGATGAGGAATGAAGAGTCAGAACCAAGAAGATGTTCAGTGACGACTCCTTCTTTTTCCTTTTGTATGGGGTTTCCATTGGCTAGAAGGCAAGCTTGCCCTCCTAAGGCCACCTTGGGCCACCTCCGCCACGAGGCTAACCTCGGTCCGGAATGCTCGCCCTTCCCCTTTATGTCGACCAAGTGGGCATCCGAGGCACGGGAGGGGTTGAGTTTGTGTGACAAGTGTAGCTGGGGTGCGGCCGCGTGATGGGCTTTGCGATCCATCCAGACTTTTATCCCCGTCGATGCCTCTAGAAACCTCATTATCGTGGCATTATTCCGAGGGTGATTGACCCGGACCCAATATGCCCCGCGCTCGTGTTGCCCCTCGTCTTTGTAGTGTCGACGCTGCTTTCATAAAGAGAGTTTGCGCTGCAGTGGCTTTTCGATTGACGATATATCCCTCTTTCCACCCTTGTTTTCTTGAGTGCCAGTAGTCTTTTCAAAACCTGACGTAAAAAAAAAAGTGCCGCCTTTCAAGATGGGTTCGATCTCAGGTCCAGGCTTTGACGTGTTCAACGGCTTTTACAACACCATCAATGGCAAATCGACCTCCACGGAGCAAACCAGACACGGCATCAACCCCGCGACTGGCAAGCCCAATCCAGAAGTGCCCGTCTCGACCCAAAAGGATGTCGATGATGCTGTAGCTGCTGCCAAGGAAGCATTCAAGACCTGGTCAAAGACTCCTTTAGAGAAGCGAAAAGAGGCTGTCCTGGCCTTCGCCGACGCCCTGGAAAAGTACGCCAATGACTTTGGAAAGCTCCTGACCCAAGAGCAAGGAAAGCCCGTAAGAGTTCCCCGGAATAGTCGAACGTTCCGAATGCTAAGTGCCATGAACCACAGCTTCAATTCGCCGTTGGCGAGATCCATACCGGTGTCCACTGGCTCCGAGCCCTGTCCAAACTCGAACTGAAGGAGGAGGTGGTGGAAGAGAATGACGAGAAGAAGATCATTGTCCGCTATACACCTCTCGGAGTCGCCGTGGGCATCGTACCGTGGAACTTCCCCGTCCATCTCGCCTGCGGCAAGATTGCTCCCTCACTCCTGACTGGCAACCCCATCATCATCAAGCCATCGCCCTTTACGCCATACTGCGACTTGAAGCTCGGTGAACTCGGCCAACAATTCTTCCCTCCTGGTGTCCTCCAAGTCCTGAGCGGTGATGACAACCTGGGACCCTGGCTGACGAGCCATCCCGGCCCCGACAAGATCAGCTTTACTGGCTCGACATTCACTGGAAAGAAGGTTATGGAGAGCGCAGCTAAGACCTTGAAGCGAGTGACTTTGGAACTGTAAGTGTGAAACTTGAAGCATCTGTGTGCCCTTGGGCTGACTCACATTTCTAGGGGTGGTAAAGATCCGGCCATCGTCTGCAAGGATGTTGATATCAACGCCGTTGCCCAAAAGGTATGACCCAGTTTTGACCTCATCTCCCTCCCAAGGGCCAGTTACTAACACTGCCGACCAGATTGCTACCCTTGCCTTCCTCAACTCGGGCCAGATTTGCTTGGCCATCAAGCGCATTTATGTTCACGAGGATATCCACGACCAGTTCAGAGATGCCATGGTTGCGTTCACCAAGCAACTAAAGGTTGGTGACGGTACCGAGGAGGGAGTCTTCCTTGGACCCATTCAAAACAAGATGCAATACGAAAAAGTCAAGGTATGTCTTGTGCCGGGCGTGGACAATTCACCCTGTCGTTGTACCCTCTTTCTCTAACGTCTTGAATAGACCTTCTTCAGCGACATTGAAAAGGAGAAGTGGAACGTCGCAGTTGGTGGGAAGAACGAGGACAAACCTGGTTACTTCATCACACCTACCATCATCGACAAGCCCGCGGATGACTCCAGAATCGCCACCGAGGAACCATTCGGCCCCATTGTCCCACTGATGACCTGGTCTGACGAAGACGATGTCATTGCTCGCGCCAACAATACCAAGATGGGCCTCGGCGCTTCGGTGTGGTCTAACGATTTGGAGCAAGCCACTCGCATCGCCCGACAGATTGATGCTGGTAGCGTCTGGGTTAACACCCATCTTGAGGTCGACCCCAACGCGCCTTTTGGTGGCCACAAAGAGAGCGGTCTCGGTTTCGAATGGAGTCTTGCTGGTCTCAAGGCGTACTGCAACGTTCAGACCCTTTACTTGAAGAAGACCACCTCATAAACTTGCAGCTAGGCCAAAATAAGTGAACATCTTGCAATATGGATCCTCGTCAAAGAAATAAGCTTGTAGCCTCCAGCCGATGACTCGGATATGGCATCAAAGTATAAGACAAGATTTGCGTGGTTCAATCTCCCGACTACAAACGGTATGAATTTCATGTGAATACATTGTTCATGTGCTCGATATGAAGTAAATCGTAAAGATTGAGCAGGAAGCCATTCGTCTTCTCAACTCGTGATCGATTCTGCCACTATCACCAAATACTCCGCCGCAGTAATATTGCCAAGTCTACGGCGAGGCATTCGGCCACTCTAGCGCAGAATAATAATCGCGCGACGGATCTGGCACGTAAATGGCTTCAGGACAGACATGCAGTTGGCAGGCTGAAGTTCTGGAGCACGGCCAACAGAGACCTTGAGCGTTCTTCGTGCTTTGCATATATGTTACTGAGTGGTTATCGCAGCGTTCGTCCATCGAGGGCGTTCGCATCTTTCAAACCCTTGACAAATGGCGACAACTTCTGCCGCTCCCGCGCCGCAAACTGCGCCTGCGGTCAATGGCACCTCCAACCTTGAACTCGATGTCTCGAAGCTTCACGCCCTACCGACCGAGCAGCAAGACTTATACCTGTTAACCTTTGTCTCCGACTTCCAGCGCCATGTCGAACAGTTGTCAGCAGAGGCCTTACCCCCCCATCAAGCTTCGATCAAGAAGGAAGTCATCAAGATCATTGGACTCGGTTCTCCAATCCCGTCCCGCGTGATTCGAAACGGCCTCGGAAGAATCTTAGCAGATGTCTTCAGTCGCGGCAGCCACAGTCTACTCTACGAGACGATCAACGATCTCTTAGCGATCTTGAACGCAGGAAAGACGGATAAGGAGTTGGGATCCAAACATGCGGCCGTGGTTTGTCTGGGAGCCCTCTTTCGCGCGGCAGGAGACAGTGCTGTTAGTCTCTCGGGACTTACGGTTGCTACAATACTAAAACTCTTGAAATCTTCCCATGCCGGAGTCAGAGGGTGCGTCTTCCGAGCCCTCGGCGGACTGATTATTGGGATCAAGCGAAGTCTGGATGAGCATGTTGCGCGGGATATCTGGAAACAAGCGCGACACGCTGCAACAAGTGACAAATCGACTTTTGTCCAGAGGTGTGCGTGTTCATGTCTCCGCAGCCTAGTCAGTGAAACCGGCTATTTCAACAACTCGAATGACTTTGACAGCCTCAAGACAACATTTTGGAAAGCATTTGACAGTTCTGCGCCATCCGTGAGGCATGCTGCCGCCGCCGCCCTGGCGGCTGCGCTGAATCAAGCATATTCTTCGCACGGTTCCGCCGAGGTGCCGGTTTCACGAAAACCGAAACGGTCCAAGAAACCGGGAGACGACCTGGACGAGGAAGTCGAGTCTGAACGGCCCGGCTCACCTTCGCCGGGACAGGTGAAAGCGTCTATGCGGCTGACACTTTCTTTGGACGAAGTTCTTCGTGTTCTGTCGCAACAGTATTGCCGTGCGTCAACAACGAACAGGTCTCGTGCAGGCATTGCCATCTGTTACAAATATCTGCTCCATTTACTGCCTCGGAAAACCTTGGAGGAGAATTATGCCTCGATAGCTGTTCATACATACGCGGACCTGTTGAACCACCCAACTATATCATTCAACCGTCATCGACTGCTCCTCACACGGAAGCTGGTCCAGTGGATCCTTGCCGATGTTACGGTCCTGTTGACGGAGAACGCCCAAGTCAATGCGGCGCGGTACCTGATTAATGATGTTATCAAGAACTACCCTCAAGTGCTGCCGGAAAGACGCGAACCGTCAAAGCGGATTCTTGCTGGCGCCTTGGGTACTTTGACAGACTTGTTGTTGCGCCTAGGACCAGCTGCCAGCGTATTCCAGGATTCATGCAGAGAAGCCCTTTTTCAAGTCATCCAACACCCGAATCACACGGTACAAAGCCATGCCGCTCAATGCTTCAGGGCTTTCATTCTTGCGTGTCCGAATCAGCTCATGCGCACTATCGAGCATGCCATGTCACAATTGCAAAAGGAGTTTCAGCCGTCAGAGGCCAAACAACCGCACCGAAAATCAATTGGGTTTGCAGCAGCCATAGCAGTTGCTGTAAGTTGTGCACGCCAAAGACCCCTATATGGCTCCGTCCAGACATATTCTGCCATCTTCACCTTTGCAACCGACCTATTGAAGTCAAGTGCAGCCGCCGAACTGCGGCTTTCAGCTATGCAGGTGCAGGTCGCATGGACGTTGATTGGGGGCCTGATGAGCTTGGGACCAAGCTTTGTAAAAGTTCATATGAACCAGCTCATGTTGCTCTGGCGAAATGCTTTGCCTCCCCCATTGACCCACGAAAATGCCGCAAAAAGAGGGCATCTGGAGCTGAGCTTTTTATCCCATGTTCGCGAATGTGCTCTGAGTGCTCTGCTCATGTTTCTCTCCTCTTGCAGCGGTCTAGTCACGACAGATGGGTCGAAGCGAATTTCAACCATGCTGCACAATACTATCCTTTTCCTCGACAGCTTGCCACCTGCGCGGGAGTCAGAGGATGTGTCTCACCGATTGGTACCGACCCTTCAGCTACAGGATTTCGCCATATTGCTCCGCCGACGTGTACTGCAAAGCTTCATTTCCCTAGTTAGCTTGAAGCACCTTGACCAAGGCGATGTGGTGTCCCATTCGGATTTGATAGGTCTTACTATGAGGACGTTCACCGATCCAGAACGGCCAGTCTTGAAAAGCTTAGAAGCATCACTGGCAAATACTGCAAGCAACTTCGAGGGCCTGTGGGCCACGGAAGACAACTGGAGCTTTGGCGTTAGCAACCTGGCAGACAGTTTCGATACCTACCTGCCGTTTGAGAACCATAATGAACCGAGCACTGACACGTACACCGAACAAGAGATTTCTGTACCAGATATCCTAATCCGGTGTCCTGCCTTGCCGGCGGTTGAACACGATCCCGCCTTACTCTCAAGGCCAGATAACCGACTGGACGAGGCCGAGATAAGCTCGCCCGCGACATCTTGTGTGAATCTGGCAATCAAGCTCTTCGCTATATCGTTGCCTCTTCAATCACCCCGAATTCAAGAGAGTACCGTGGAGCAGCTAATTACTGCTGTCTCGCAGCCTCTGCAACGCGAACCCGGCAGGAAGGCAGCGATGCAAATCAATACCGCCCTCGCGTTCCTATGTGCGCTCGCAGTTGCGAATAACGAAACCCCATACAACTCTGGGAAAATGCATGTCGGGGCAGTGGGACAAGTCATCACTGAACTTTTGGACCGATACCTGTGCAACTCCGATCCCATCCTACGACACATAGCTGCTCGTGCTATAGGCCGCATATGTAATCTCGCTGGGACCCAGTTCACCAACAGGGAGGTCAAAGTCCTCATCGACACAATTGTGGCGAATCGCGATCCGAGCGCTCGTGCTGGTTGTGCTCTTGCGCTCGGATATATTCACTCAGAAGTAGGCGCCATGGCAGCCAGCCTTCACATCAAGTCTATCGTCGGGGTCCTCCTATCATTATGCAGTGACAGTCACACGATCGTTCATTACTGGGCTCTCAAAGGACTGCTTCTGGTTGCGGAGTCTGCTGGGCTGGCCTTTTCCACGTACGCGACGAGCACTTTGGGTCTACTTGCTCAACTATACTCAAGTGACACTCACAACGAGGAAGCTGTATCTGTGGCGACATCTAATCTGGAGCTTGAGCTTTTCACGCCTCTGGCACTTGCTCAATGTGTTGACAGCATCATCAACGTCTTGGGGCCTGACTTGCAAGATGTTTCCAAGGCGCGCAATTTGATCTTGGTACTGATTGGCTACCTGCAAAAAGAGCCTTCGGCACGATTGCGGAGTGCAAGTTACCAATGCCTTCGCCATCTCTGCATGTATGCGCCGGCGCATCTTCAATTTGCCAAATACGTCCTAGATTTGCAGACGAATATTTCGTCTGACGAGGACCTCCTCCAGTCCGCTGCTATAAAAGGTCTTGGGGAATTGATGAAGAGAAATTCCTCTGAAGTCGCGCGTGTGGCGACTTCTAAGCTGGGCGACGATCTGTGGGCACGTCTGGACGACAACCCGGAAAACAAGTCCTTGCAGGGAATGCTACAGAATTGGATGCAGCAGACCATCCTCGTTGACACAGCCGCATGGATCGACAAATGTCAGAGCATACTTTCCAGGACAAGAACAAAGGCATCGGCACCATCGCGCGTCGCGACAGCAAAAACGGCCATGCCAGACCTGGCAGATGAAGAAGTCGCCGGCTTTGCTGCTGCAGCGGCCGCCGCGCAAGGCGATGCGCCCGACGCTACACCAGAAGGTCAAGAGTTTCTCCGCTGGCAGACAAGAGACTTTGCGATGCGACTGCTCAGCGAATCAATGGACATCATCCAAGCCGCCATGTCGCCGGATCGAGTCATTTCGGCCGAAGAAGTGTTGCAGAGCAAGATTGCGGATGTGATTCGCGTTGCCTTTTCGGCTTCGACTGCCAACGTGGTCGAGCTTCGCATCTGGGGTCTTCGCATCATTGATCAGATCCTCAAGCTTTTTGGCAAGACTCCGGATCCTGATTTCTTGGAGGCGTCCCTGCTCGAGCAGTACCAAGCCCAAATCAGCTCAGCTCTAACGCCAGCATTTGCTGCGGACTCGTCTCCAGAACTAGCTGCCGAGGCCATTGGCGTTTGCGCTACCTTCGTTGCTACAGGGATAGTGACCAACGCGGAACGTATGGGCCGTATTTTCAAGGTTCTTGCCATGGGGGTCGACAACCTGACTCAACCTGTCCCCGAACCAGCAATTGGCGATCTGAAAAACCTTAGCCCAAATGCACAGGCTATGCTTAAGATGGGCATCTTGTCTGGCTGGGCACAGCTGCAACTTGCAAGTTCCGAGCAACCGTTTCTGGAAGAAATCCTGCAGCCGTACATTCCCAAACTTGCGCCACTTTGGCTGACATCGCTACAAGAGTTTGCTGGCTTACGCTTTGAGCCAGAAATTTCGGATACGCTCGGAGGCGAGGTTGCGGGCGGTAATTTGGACGAACGATACGCTTCCTTCAATCGAGAAGTCCGCTTGAAGTTTTATCAGAAGAATTGGCTGAGCATTGTGGACGCCATTGCTGTACTTGTAGAAAAGGACAGTGAGTCAGTGTTTGACGCACTCGATGACAAACGCAATTATGCAGTCGACGGCCCCGCAGACGAAGCTGCCGCCCCTGGAAGAGACATGAGCTTCCGTGAGGAGCCCGTGGCGTTCTTCTTCATCCTCTTTGGACTCGCCTTTGAAGCCCTGGTGACACAGGCGAGGGAAGATCCTTCGCAGGCGCTATCAATCCTGCAGGCTCTCAGAAAGATCCTGACTCCTGAAGTGTGTGGCAATGCAATCTACGAGGAGGCAGTGTTCAATGAAACCACGGATACCCTGGACCGACTTGCTCTCACGAGTACGCGGGAGACACAGAGCGTCCTCGTTGAAATAGCCCGGAATTTGTCCTTGGATCACGTCGCAGCGAAGACCCAAGATCGGGACGAAAAGCTCTCGGACGACATTGAACAGCTCTTTGAACTGACAAGAATCATCATTCTGGTTTTGACAGGTCTCATACCGACCCTGGAAGATCCGCCTGGCCCTGCCTTTCGTAAACTTGGGGACGATGGCATTGCCCTCGTACGACTTTGCTTCCAGGCGCTGGTGGATGTGGCCTCAATCTTCCCCGCCATCATTCGGGCTGATCTCCATGCCTGTATCATTCACAGCTATTGTACCCTTCTTGCCACTGGCGTGTGTCAGGATGAGGTGCTCCCCCAGACCATGCCCATCTTTAAAGCCTTCTTGCAGGACGTTGTTCAGTCCGGCTCCGATGAAGTCAACTCGAGGCTCATCCGCGGCTGCCTGTACCGCATGCTGTCAATCTTGGCTGTGGCCCAGCGACGAGAGAACGAGTATGCGATCACTTGTGCCAAGAATACTCTGCTCTCCATGACCATATTGCTCACGACGGCTAGCTCGGTCATTCCAGCCAACGACGAGCTTATCACAAAATCACTCTCGGAGCTGCTCGATTGCCTCCAAGACGTGGGTCTTGCCAAAATCGCGGCCGGCTGTATGCGGTCGCTGCTTGTCACGAATCCGAAAACACCTTGCGATGACGCAGTTGGGAGAATCCTATGGTCGCGGCTGGTACCATACGTGAGCGACCCGGAAGCAGAGGATCCAGAGAATGTCAAGACAGCACTGACACAAGCTCTGGTGGCGGCCGTGGCGTCTATCAAAATTCCGGGGCGATTTGCTGCTATGCCCATATTGGTGCCGTTGATCCTGCTTCGTGCTAAACAGATCCCCAAAGGCAGTAGCTCGGACGGTGTGCGGAAAGAGAGCGCCGCAAGACTACTCGAGTTGGTGGCGACTGATCAGCTAGCGTTCAAAATGACGGTCGGTTTATTGGACGAGGAGCAGCGTTCAGATTTGGAAAACCTGCTGCGTGCCGCTGGAGTCGGCCAAAAACAGGAGGCGACTTCGGAAGACAATGTGCAAGCGAAGCCGGCAATTGAACTACGAATGGATTTTGGATGAGGCTGAGTCCACATACGGTAAATAAATATATAGAACAAGATGGCGAGACTAGTTATGGGATATTCGCCCTCGTGATATATGGCCACGTCGAGTTCCCTTCTCTACAAAGCGTTTGTCGTTGGAGTAAGAGCCTCAGCCTCGTCGACGCGCATCCTTGTAATATTATTGGTGCTTGGCATTGCCGCATGTGGCAAGTTTGGGCGAGGCTCGCTCAACCAAAACTTAAATCTGTGCGCCATGGACAAGTTCATCAATTCTATATCACCCAGACCCTGTCCCAGATCTTTGCTCGCATAGAAGGCAAAAGGGAAAACAGGGCTTCACTCGTGATTTCTGACAGTGTGTCTCTCTGCCTAAGACGGCTCAATGGAGTACGATCCCAAAGTCCCAACCTACCAGACGTCCGACCCCACGTCTTTTGCTCACAAATCTGCGCGGGAACGATGGCCGGCCATAGTCACAGGCGCCATAGACGATGTGCACCGGACCGTCTCTCAGCTGCCAGACTCGGAAAAAGATGCCTTGGCCGAGGGTAAATCCATCATCTCAACACTAGGGTCGTTGAAGTACGAGCTACAACATAATCGGACTTTGTCACCGATCCCCGACGACGGGTTCCCGGACGTCGAGGGATACAACCAGGAGCTGGCGGCGCGGGGACCGCCGACGTGGCACAATGTCGAGTGGCTGTTCTCGGAATGCTACCTGTACCGGCGAATGGCGACGCTGTTCTCGACGGCCAAGAGCAAATTCTGGCGGGACTACGACCCCTTCCAGCGGCAGAAGATGGAGACGTTCAAATCGTCGCGGCCGGCGGTGCTGGAGCTGGCGGCCGAGTACCGCGGGATCATGACGCAGATCCGGTCGTCCAAGGCCCGGGCGCCCGTCGCCGAGGGGGTGACGGACCCCCAGCAGATCGACGAGGCCGAGAAGCTGCTGTTCGTGGAGATGGCCGAGATCTGCCTGTGGGGGAACGCGACCGACCTGTCCCTACTCACCAGCCTGACGTACGAGGACATCCAGAAGCTGCAGGGCAGCAGCGCGCGCAAGGAGTCGGAGAAGAACATCCTGGTCAACGACCTGGGCCGGGCGTTTGAGGTGCTCAACGCCGCCCACGGCGCCGGCAAGGCCCAGCGTCGCGTCGACATCGTGCTGGACAACGCGGGCTTTGAGCTCTTTGTCGACCTCGTGCTGGCGGGGTACCTGCTCGCCACGGGCCTGGCGACCGAGGTCGTCCTGCACCCCAAGGACATTCCGTGGTTCGTCAGCGACGTCGTGCCCAAGGACTTCCAAGCCCTGCTGCAAGCCATGGCGGACCCGAAAGCGTTTTACGAGAAGATCGACAACAGCCACAGCCACAGCCACGGTACCGGCGTGTCATCGCCGGCGCCTCTGTCCGACGAAGAGGCCGCCAACATCAAATTCCTCTTCGACGACTGGAGCGACCCTCACGGCGAGGGCAGACTGATCCTCCG